TACTTGCCCACTAGCTGATAGCCATCAAGAAGCCAGTGGTTAGGAGCTGGGTCTGTCAGTAAGGTGCTTGCTACAGGCGTGAGCACCCGAGTCTGGTCCCCAGAACCCATGTGAAAAGCAAGGAAGGTGTGAACCTCTCATACTGAGACTAAGCAGAGACAGGAGCCCTCTGGGGCTTCTGGCTAGCAAGGCGCTAATGCAGGGCTCTGCATTCAGGAGGGATCTCGTCTCAAAACAGTGTGTACAGATTTTAGTATGTTTATCCTATATTATATGTCTAATATCTGCTTATGAGTGAGTATATACCCTGTGTGTCTTTCTGCTTCTGGGATACCTCACTCAGGATGATCTTTTCCAGTTCCCACCATTTACCTGCAAATTTCATGATTTCCTTGTTTTTTTATTGCTGAATAATATTCCATTGTATAGATGTACCACAATTTCTGTATCCATTCCTCAACTGAGGGGCATCTGGGCTGTTTGCAGCTTCTGGCTATTACAAATAAAGCTGCTACAAACATGGTTGAGCAGATGTCCTTGTTGTATACTTGATCATCTTTTGGATATATGCCTAGGAAGTTAATCAAGAAGGAGGACTCTGGCTAAGATGCTCAATCCCCATTCAGAAAGGCAAAGAGGATGGACATGGGAGGAGGGAGAAAACAGGGAACAGGACAAGAGCCTACCACAGAGGGCCTCTGAAAAGTTCTACCCTGCAGGGTATCGAGGCAGATGCTGACACTCGTGGCCAAATTTTGGGCAGAGTGCAGGGAATCTTATGAAACCAGTGGGAGATAGTAAGACCTGGAAAGGACTGGAGCTCCACAAGGAGAGCAACAGTTCCAAAAAGTCTGGGCACAGGGGTCTTTTCTGAGACTGATACTCCAGCCAAGGACCATTCATGGAGATGGCCTGGAACCCCTGCACAGAGGTGGCCTATGGCAGTTCAGTGTCCATGAGGGTGTCCCAGTAATAGGAACAGGGACTGTCTCTGACAGGAAATGATTGGCCTGCTCTTTGACACCTGCTCCTGAGTAGGGAGCAGCCTTACCAGGCCACAGAGGAATACAGTGCAGCTGCTCCTGATGAGACCTGATAGATTAGGACCAGAGGGAAGAGGAGGAGGACCTCCCTTATCAATGGACTGGGGGAAGGACAGAGGGGAGGAGGAGGGAGGGAGAGTGGGGTTGGGAGGGGAGGAGGGAGGGAGCTACAGGGGGAATACAAAGTGAATAAAGTGTAATTAATAAAAATAAAAATAATTAATAAAAAACCAGTGTGTGGAGAGCGATCTGCTAAGATGTCTCATGTGACCTTTGTTTTCTGTGTGATTGCACACATACGCACCACTACACTCGTGTGCACACACAAAAGAATTTAACACCTGGCAGTTACACCCTAATAATATCTTCCACTTTTAGAGTCTTCACTGGTGCTCGACTGTGCTCTGAGTTTTCTCTTCATACCCCTGACCTTCGAGGGGTGATTACTTTTCTGCTTTGTGTGTTCTGTGTGAAACGTGTGGAATCTAGCCTTTTACACCATCAGCTGATGAATACTCACTCTTGTTTCCTCACATCTAATTGGTGGTTGTTTTATCTTAAAGTTGTTCCTACTGCTTCTGCGACTCTGCTGCCTGGGAAACTGAAGTTCTCTGAGTGTGTGGATTCACTCAGCATGGTGGTTATCACATGGCAACTTCGGAGTAAATTATTTTATGATCTGTTTAGCATAATCTACCGCTCATGGTGTACGTAGCAGCCTTTAAATCAAATGTCTTGAAGGTTTCTGACAGAACAGTGGCCCATGCTGTTGCTCTTCCCTCTGGCTAGAATGCCCTTCCACCTTAGTGCTGCTCACTCCCCCTCATCCTTGGGGACCTTATTTGAATGATGTCCGGCATGGTCGGAAGTGTCCCTCCTATAAGCTCAGACCCCTTTTCTCTGGGCTCCTCACTCATCTGTGCAGCCTCCCTTGACCTTTGACACATGACATTTCATCCTCCCCTTTTCCTGCCAGCTGCATTAAGTTGTGACTCTTTGGAGTCACAAAACCTGTTCTGCCTGTTTGACTTCATTTTCTTTCCCAGTATCTTTCCTTGTCTACTTGGGCTGTGAATTCCAGGGTGTGGTTACATCCACGTGGGTCCTGTGTATTGGTGCTCAGTTCACATATATGGTCACTTCGTGTAGCTGTGTGTGCACTGGAGTGCCTCAGCCGTGGTCTTTGCTGGCTATGGTGTGGCAGAAGTGACCGCTGGAGAACACATTTGTGTCAGGTCTTGTCCTTGCCAAGGTAGAGCTTAAAGTTACCCCTTCTCTAGTGAAGTTTTGGGATGCTTTATGTCAGCACTATGAGGTTCTTTTATGCCAAACAAGAGCAGCAATACCTTAGACAGAGAAGGAAGAAATCCAGTCACTGCAGCATGACAGCAGTGGGCTGGAGGTCTGAGCTATGAAAAGAATACCCTTGGCCTCTGTGAACACAGTTCTGGGGACAGTACAGAGGGGAGGTGCCCGCTTTCCATGCAGTAGCCCCCTACTTCTTGCTCATTACAGCTTTCCTTTGATAGTCCCAGGACATAGACATGGATTCCACGGGCACAGGCTTTTGCCACTGTGACTTCATCCTGTTTTGAAGTTTCTCTCAAAAGTGGTTGATTTATATGTTGTCTCCTGTGTGCATTATGTATGTGTTGCTGTTGTGAGGGGTGGATTCGGAAGGGCCCTGTATGCCTTTGTCCCCAGACCCCCAGCCACGCAAGTTCAGCAGCTAAGAAAAGCGGAGAGCAGAGCTGGGCTCAGGAACAGACCAGGGCACAGATCACATCTGGTCTCCTTCAGAGCAGCTGCTGGCCTGGATGGTGGCAGAGAAAGAAAAGGGTTCTTACCTGCTTACTTAATGGGACTGGCCTCTTTGCTTTTATTTAGCGTCTCTTCTGGTCCATGCCCCTTTAAACTCGTAAGATCCATCACCTCATTTACTCTGTTACTTTGACACCTTGCAGGGTTGTGGACATAATGATTCCACAGAAGAGCAAATTAAAATGTTTCTTCATGATTAAAAGGTTAAATGAGGTAAGACTACGGTGGTTAGTGGAGAGATAAGGGGTTCTGAGGAGGCAGAGCTCAGGGGACTCTCGAGTGATTAGAAAATTAGGCTGGCTAGACGGGGGAATGTGGGTTTTACAAATTACGGGAGCTGAGCAGGAGTAAAGACTTTAGGAAGTGCCTGTGACATCTGGGTGCCTGCGCCTGGGCTTGAGCTGTGAGCCAGGCTCTAGCAGCTCTCTGCTCAGAGGTTTCTTTCCTTGAGAAATTCTGGAGCTAATTACACCAGGAAGTCAGAGCGCCAGATCCAGCAGCGATGATGGTGGAAGCCACTCATTCTCAGAAGCTCGGATTTTCCTTATGCTTGAAGATGGCTCGGGTTCAGGCCCATTTCCAGCAGGCAGGCCTCTTTCACTGTGTTAGTGCAAGTTGTACTAGCTGCTACAAGTCACAGCAGCTTTGTCGAAGGTCTGCCTGCTGTTGTGTCCTCTGTTCCTGCTCTAGCCTTGGCTTCCTCTGGATTCCATGATTGCCGAACTTCTGGTCCCTGGAAAGCAAGCACCTAGAGAGCTGAGGGTTTATCATCTGGCTCCCCTGGGTGAGTTCTTGCGACCATGCTGACTTCCCAAGGATTCCCTAGAGGACTGCAGTTCTCTAGGCTCAAGGTCACCTCTGAGTTTTGTCTCTGCCACTAAGGTTCTATCTAATAGATTTGGGCCCAAATTGAGGCTCATACTATGTGTGCCCACTGCCCCAGTTTCCACCCTCTTTACAAGACCTCCATCTTTGCCACATGGGCTAGCCTCCTGCTCATTTTTAACTACCTTATTCCCCCTGCCCCGAGTAGTATAAACACTGATGTTGGATTGTGACAGCTTTCACGAAAAAGCCAACAGGTGAGCAATGAGAAGTCTGCTTTGGCTTTTCACCGTCTCTCAGACTCGGGTCGCACATCTTAGAGTGGTGCTCGCGGTGGCCCACCGTAGTCATCGCTTGTGCTTCCTGCTGTCTGTTCGCCTCTGTACGGTAAGAGAGACTGGTTGGGTCCCTTGAATAACCCGTGTTTTCTTGTTTCTGTGCCGGCTTCTTCCATCTAAAAGACCTGATCACACGTCTCTACCAATCCAAACATGCATTTTATCAAGCTCCGTCTCAAGTACAGACCCCTCTTTCTCACCAGCTGCTGCAGTCGCTACAGCTTTCTTTCTACAAAGGGCATTCAGGGGAATGTTCTTAGGCTATTTGCTGTTCCATCTTCCCTCTTCTGGTGCTTAGCGTTTCCAGTCTACAACGTGTGCATAGGTGAAGTCTTGTGTTGACAGAAGCTGTGAGAAAAAGACACAGAAGTGTGAGGTGGGAATGAAGCTGGGTCAGCCATGATGTGAGACAGTCATTCCCCTCAAGTGTTTGCTAAGTGTCTGTATGACTTAAGGTGTGGTGCTCTGCAGAGGGCCTAGGTACGGAGAGTCACACGGCAAGCACAGCCCTGGGCTTTGGGAACTGAGAAGCATGTGGTAGAAATAGAACTGCCAAAATTACACTGAGCAGAGTGCAGTGACGATGCCCAGGAGGATGGGGCTGGCAGGTGGGAGGAGAGGGGAGGGTGCGGGGAGGGGCTGAGGAGGCAGGAACGGTCTCCTGTGGTTGGAAATGTCTGATTTGAGTTTTTCATCTGAGAAGGGGTGTGAAGAGACAGTAGGTAAGGAAGAGGGGGCCAGGCTAGAAGAGTGGAAGACAGAGCTCTGCCTGCTCTCAGCAGCTGGCACACAAAGCCCGCCTGCTCGCTGGGGACAGCTTCCCCCATGCTTCAGCTGAAATTTCCTAAAAGACTGACTCCTTTGATTTTTTCTGAGAGAGAAAGAAAGGGAAACCCACCCCGCCCCCACTCCTGTGACTGCCACCGTTGGAGATCATTCATTCTCCTTTCTTTTCTTCCCCACTGTTTTGCAGAAGAAGTCTGTGTTTGTGGTGAGCTTCATAGCCCTGTGCCTCTTGCTGCTAGCCATGCGCCTTGTCAATGACGTGACTTTCCCTTTGCTACTCAACTGCTTTGGACAACCTGAAAACAGATGGATCCCTTTGTCCTACACATTCAGGCAGCCTCTTCGAACTCACTATGGATACATAAATGTGAGGACCCAAGAGGTAAGACCTGAGAGGGTTACCTAGGAGGGTATCCATGGCAACTGTTTTCCAGTAGGAGCAAGATGGCTTCGGAGTCATTACATTCACCCGCTCTGTCCCGCTGAGATTCTTTGGGTCCCTGACAACATTTTCGGTTTTCTTATTCTTAGATACTTCCTGACACATGTCTAAAATCTTTCATTCTCCTCCCACATCAAACCACCAAATCACTGGCTTCCTATGGAGTTGAGGAAGCAATTACCTGTTTTCCTGGTGGTTTGAAGCTTAACATACATATCTGTCCGTTTAGGCGCTCTGATCAGTGGCCTCCAGCTGGAAAACTGCCTGGCTTTATTTCCTGTAGGTCACCTGGTTGGGGACAGCTCTTTATAGAACCTGAGAAAAGCATTTGTATCTTTGTAACTCTGTAATCCTTAGACCTAGAGCTAAAAAAAAAAAAAAAAAAAAAGGCCAAGCTGAATTTTAACATTTGCGGTGGCTACAGAGATAATGGGATTTAACATCTTTCCACATTTAAAGGGGTTAAAACCATTTAAACCTCACAAGCACTGAACTTTTAAATCTCGTAGCCGATGGGTGTACCAGAAGAGGGTAGCTGAGTATTGACAGCCAGGGAGAGTACAGAAGGCTAGAAGTGTGTTTGTGCATGTGTGCATCCCTGCCCACATGCATGTGGGAGGCGGGAGACAACCTTGGACAATTTGAGGGTCAGATCCTCAGGCCCTGACCATTTTTGTTTTGTTTGATTTTGAGATGAGGTCTCTGCCTGATCTGGAACTCACCGAGCAGGTAGGCCGGCTCACCAGGGAGGCTCAGGTTCCAGCGATTTCTGCCTCCCCTTTCTGGGATCACAGGCATGTGCCACCAAACCAAATGCATGTATATTACGTGTTTTGGTCAGATCCACTCCGACTTCATGTGCTCCTTTTAATAACTCAGCGAGTACTATGGGCTTGTTCGATTGTGTGCATACCACAGCCTCTGTGTGTTCTTGTGCGCAGTGGCCCTAGCATGTTCAGAAAGCACCTCTCACAGTAGTCTTTTTTTTTTTTTTAATGTGACTCCTCGAGAGTCGAACTTAGATGCATATGCTCACATGGAAAGTACTTATCCACTGAGCTAAATTCCCCAGGCAGCTACTCAGAACCAGAATTTGTCTCATAAAGTACAGGGGGTGGGCTTGGGACTCTCAAAAATAATAGGGGCCATGCAGAGGTAGTGAAACTATTTTCACAGTCTTTTCTGTGGGATGGAGTAAGTGTGAGGCACACCAGGATTGATGCAAAGTCCAAGCCTGTTTGACACAAAGTAGAGTCCACCCCAGTGTGCCAGCTCAGAAGAATTTCGGGACAGGATCCTGGTGGATGGCTATTTTGTAAATATCCCAGAGAGTGATGCCACATGGCTCTTTTGTGGCCAGTGGCATGCTTGAGTGTTGCTCTCTGTTCATTTCACTCTTTGTACATTTTTTCTGTATCTCCTAGATTTATAGACTGTTTATTAGACCTTTATAGTTGAGGGAGGCGCCATTAATAATATATGAATTCCTCAGAGCCTTGCTTGATGTGTATCCTCTAATTGGTTTTAAATTAACTTTTGAAAGTCTCTTGCTTGAATTTGTCGAGTGTCCTGATAAATTGATTACCTGTATAAAAATGTGTCTTTTAGGGAACAGCTCGCCTCACTCTCATCTCTCGTTACTACTATGTCTCGCTGTCACTTAATATTCTATAACTCTGCAGTATGGGTTAATCATTTCACAAGTGCCTGTCACAGGCTGAAAATGTAACATGTGGATAAAGTACCTCATGAATTATGCTCATGAATAGTATACCACTAGATGGTAAAACCCTTTGATTTGTCTAAATATTTGTGAATTGAATTTTGGAGTAGCCCCAAACACTTCTTCCTAGTGCCATAAATTCTGTCCTACCTCTGCTCCCATGGTGTACAGTACTCTCTCAAACCAGGAGCAAAAAAATTTCTTCCTCTGTTAAGTTTCATATTTTCAGGTATTTGGTCGTAGCTATGAGAAAAGCAACTAAGACTGTCTAAATAAAGCAACTAAGACGGATAAATAAATTTATTAAGGTCTGTGCATTGGTGGGCATTGGTGGTGCCCCTTTATGAGGGGGCAGCAAAGAGAGGTGCTTCCTTTTCTGCACCTTCGGTGGTCATGACTTGAGGGTCTAACAACATTGATTCATCTCTCTATCTCTCAGTTCTATGACTGCTTCCTGAAGGTCTTCTCGTCCTTTCTTGTGCTATGTAATGCACTCATCCCTGGGAAAGACTGTGCAGAGGCCATTATTTAGAAAGAGTCAGTGCATATCCTTCTCGAGGCAAGAATGGACCTCACAAAGGGGGTAGGTACTGTCTTGGAGATGAAATAAGTGGAGGCAGATAGAAAGGAACCACATTGTGATGTCTTCCTATCAAGGCTGGAGCTTTGTTTCTTGCTCTCTCGAGAATTTATGGAAATATCTTTACCAGCAGAGTTACAGAAAACTGAACGGGATGCGATGGTGCCCTCCCACCTCTTTTCCTTCCTCTTCCAACCAGTATAAGCTGAAGTTCCTGTTGTTGATTGAGAAGGATTCTTGAGAAGTGAAGTGAACACCACTGACTGGATGGGGTGGATTCTGACCATCTCTGCGGGTCACTGAAACTGAGTCCTTACCAATGTTATGCTGAGTTGACTGCTGCCGCTCTGAGGTAGCACGCAGCTGCAGTAGGGACTGGAGTGATACGGTCTTTGCGGCACAAGATATGGCTGCACCTCAAAGATGACCAGTAACTTGTCAGGTGCCTCATCACTGTCCACAGTGCAGCCTCATTTGATTTTGTTTAACTGACAGAAGGGTTTATTTCAGCTTCACCCTCAAGACTACAAACAGGGCAGGAACTAAAGCAGAAACCAGTGCTTACCGGCTTGCTTTCTGGCTTGCCCAGACAGCCTTCTTTACAACCCTGACAGCCCCTGCTCTGCCTAGGAATGGTGCTGCCTACCCTCTACTTACCAGTCACTAATCAGGATCTTTCACAGACGTTGCCCCAGGCCGGCTGGACACAGGACGTTCTTGAATTGAGGTTCTCTCTCCCTGGGTACTTACGTCAAGTTGACAATAAAACCTAACCAGCATGCTCCACTTCTTATCAACTTGCTAACAGATACTTCACTGTTAAACCATAACCCTTCCTTTCTAGTTTGTCCCCAAGAGCTCATGGTAATATCATTGTATTAAGTACAATAAAACTTTAAATGTCCCACAGTATTTAAAAAAGTCTAACATGTAAACATTTTTATCAAGACTAACTTTAAAGAACCAATTTATGTTATTAGGGCAGAGTGGCCATATTATCAACTGACATTGAATATGATTTTAAAAGGGATGTCACCCTGAGTGTTTAAAACCCCCACATATGTTGACCATTGGCGTTATCCTATAAGTACATTCCTCCATAAGCGTTCTGAGCATTTCTTTTGAATTATTAACTTCAGCAGATAGGGCAGGGGTAAAAGATCTGGACACTTAGGGGTTTGGTTCAAGGCGTCATTGTTCCTTCACTGAGAGCATGGCAAGTGAAGGGGAAAGGAGAGAAATTCGCTTTGTCTGGGTTTTGATCTTCGTTTCCTACAGCAGGCTCAGTTGCTGTGTCGGCCTTCTTATGTGCTATGACATGGCGTGGCATTCATTGTTCAGGGCACGCCACCTGTAGGTTTGCATTGGCTGCTGGAGAATCAATCAACCAGAGGCTGTCGCTAGAAATTTCTGATGACCAGGTTCATGGCAGACATCTCTCCCAGGTCTGATGAGAGAACCAGAATGTGCTAGAGCTGAGAGCAAGCCTTCTGTTTGGGACAGAGTGCAGTTTCCGTAATGCTCAGGAAGAAGTCTGGGCATCCAGAACACAGCAGTCAAGGACAGGACTGTGTTTGCAGCCTCTTAACAATACAACTGGATGGAAGCATAACACTTAAAAACAAACAGAATCTCAGAAAGCCTGGGGCAGATGAAAGACAAATACTTTCTATCAGTCCCTGTGACAGGCGGGCCATGCTGGTCTAATTAGAGATGCACAGAACATATTGATGTTACCATAGAATTTCCTAAATTGTGGTTATTGTAATAGTTAAGGAACAGAGCTGACTTTCTTGGCAATAAGAGAATATGCTCACCACATTCAAATAAATGTGCACTTGTAACTAAGGCTGGCGTGAATGGGTTTTTTATGTTTGCATAGATAGGCTTTAGATTTTACATAAGGATATGGAGAACAATTATATGCAAATGTATTCTCCCAAAATTTTAAACTGATCAACTTAATTGTTAATTAAAATTTGAAGATTCCCATCTGTGTAATTGTAAAGAACAAGAAATTTGAACTCTTAAGTTGCTTTACAGAAAGAAACAAATTAATGTATAATAAAGATCACTTATTTAATATGTGCACATTGGATTTGTCATTTTAAACGCTATCATTTTTTTCAAGAGCTTGAGGGCATGTATTTGTTGAGTGGAGGAAGGATGATTTTCTTTCTCAGGCAGGTTGTGAGATAGCAACTTTCAATCAAAAAACATATCTCAAGACAATGTAGGACTAAATGCAAATGTGAGGGTTGACATCACTGAGGATTTAGAACTCCAGGGCGATTTTGCGGCATATGAGACAGATTCCATGATAGCTGGTTTTAAATGTCAGCTTGACAAAAATCTCGAATCACCCATGAAGAGAATCTCAGTGAGGAACTGTCAAGCCGGAGCTCATGGGTGTGCGTGCCTGTTTTCCTGTTTGGGTTAATTCATAAGGAAAGAGCCATCCTGGATGTGGACAGCATGTTTCATTGGCTGGGCCCTGGACTGATGAAGAAGAGAGCTGGCTAAGCATATGCAAGGCCGCTTCATGCTCTCTCTGCTGTTTGATGCTCTCGCTGCCTTGACTTCCTTGCCATGATAAAGACTTCTCTCCCCAGGATGCTTTCTCTCTGGGTGTTTTAG